ACAATAAACATAAAAGAAAATACAAATACATTGAAATGAAAGGAAGCAGAGAGAAGAAAAAAATCTTAATATCTGCCCCATTTTTCCTCAGGTATAAATTCAAACTATAATCTTTAGTTAACAAAACAAAACAAGAACATCAAATCTTTCTACAACAACAAATTATATGGTTACACATTATACTGTTTCATATTTTTTCAACAATCCAACCTTTATCATTCTCTTGAACMTGTACTTTGATTTGTCACATTTAACATCATTTTCCAGATTATTCCAAAATCTCACTCCAGGGATTGAGGTGCACCGTTCTTTCAAACTGGTTCTAAATTTTGGTTTCATGAACATCTCTGTCTAAAATTATAACAACTGTCTCTTTTTGCAAAGATTTGTTTTGGTGTTGTGGGGCAGATAGATGACAGTTTTGTTCTGRTATTAGGAAGTAGTGCAACATTATGTACAGTAATAAACACCTTCATAATTACTTAAAGCATCTGCCTTACAGTCTTGTGCATGTAATAATGAAAAAAAAATTAGCCTGAGCAGCCTGATGAGAAAAACTTTCAGCACTGGATTTTGCAGGTGTGTGTTAAGAAATCCCCACAGAGCAAATCAGCCCGTCACACTGATCCGGCTCAGAGTTGCACTGCAGCCGGAGCACGAAAGCAGACAGATGGGAAAGGCTCTTACAGGCCACTGCACACCACTGCCACAGCACTTGATGCAGTGTGGAGCTCAGCAGATGTCTCATATCTGCCACACAGAACTTTCCTGACACTCAGTATCTGTGTTTCGGTGCAAGGACAGAAAGGACATGATGTCTGCGCATGTCACAGCAAATATSAGACAGCTCTAAGGCTACAATCCCACTGCAAGTCTTAATGCTCAATTCTGATTTTTTTTTTTTTGCATGGACGTTCACATTATATGTTAAAYGTGACCTCCATCAAACTCCAGTGTGAACTCTCCTAACCAATGGAACAAGCATGAGCAGAAAATGACACGTCGTTACATTCGGCTAAACATGGATGCTACATGTTAGCAAGTGGATTCTGAAGTTGTGCAATCAGAGCAGATTAACTAATTATAGGACATGCCTGTTTAATGCCTCCGACCGGATGCTCCGGGGCAGCATTTCATCTTCAGAACTTGTGTTCAGTAGCCGAACAGGTGTGGAGTTAAACGATTTAAACTGCATGACTCAAGGTTAGTRTCATTATTACTGGATCGATCTGCTCCTCCCCACCTCACTGACGTAAAGTCAGATAAAATGTGACACGAGCATCAAACTGAGGTTATATATCTGATTCAATACCACATACTGAAACATACTGGATCAGATTTGAAATAAAATCCGATTAGTCATTTTCAGACTGTCATGAAAAATCTGACATGAGTTTTATTTGTCTGCAGTGTGAATGTGGCCTAAGATMCGTTTCATTTTATGTTTCTGAACTATCTCTGACTGAGGGTAGAACAGATTTTTGGTTTCTTTAATGCATTTTTTGCTTTATTCCTTGATGTAATAAATGCTGCATAGTAACAATTTGCGTCACAGATATAACAGGTTTGTTGTTTCAAGATTTTAGGGTGCTTAAAAAAAAGAAAAAAAAAAAAAGAAAGAAAACTATGACAGCAATGTAACGTGAACATGTACCATTTCTGGAGATGTCCAGTTCCACCAGCTGCATGAAGTTGGCCACCTCAGGAGGAAGTCTCTGGATCTCATTGTCACTCAGGCCGAGCTTCCGTAAGTTCAGTAGTCTGAAGAAAGGCTGTGAAGACATGAAATACCTTTTTAAAAACAAACACTTCTTATCTCTCTAAGTTTTAGTTACTATCACCTGATTTTGCATATTAATAAAACAGAAATAATAGGAATAAACTGTGTTGGCACAGTATAGCTTTGATGTTTTTTTTATTGCTTCTAAAACTACCTATTTTTATAAAAAACATATAATTACATGCATATATACATAGAGTTACACAGCAGTATGTCACTTAACTGAGCAAGTATCACAAAATTTAATTTTGTATAGTTAATAGGGGTGTCCCGATCCGATATCAATATCGGATATCGGTCCGATATCAGCCAAAAAACGAGTATCGGATTTTATCGGACTG